GGGGGGCGGAGGGGGTGAGGGGAGTGGGAGGGGGGTTGAGGAGCTGCCTTTGTGTTTAGGGTTCGACTTTATTTTTAATAGTGCTCTAAAGTCACAGTCTGGAGGAACAGCTACAGCCTTCCAGCACCTAAAGGGGCTATTAGAGGGCTGGAGAGGGACTTTTGACAAGGGCCTGGAGAGACAGAACAAGGGGGGATGGCTTTAAATTGAAAGAAGGCAGGATAGATTAGATATTAGGAAGAAATTCTTCCCTGTGAGGGTGGTGAGGCCCTGGCACAGGTTGCCCAGAGAAACTGTGGCTGCCCCATCCCTGGAAATGTTCAAGGCCGGGCTGGGCAGGGCTTGGAGCAACATGATCTAGCAGAAGGTGTCCCTACCCATGGCAGGGGTTTGGAACAAGATGGTCTTTAAGGCCTCTTCCTATCTAAACCATTCTGTGATTCTCTGAATACAAATGAAGGAGAAAGGAGAGGTCACCTAGCACTGGAGTCCTATAGATGTGCAACAAGGTTTTAAACCCTTATTGCACCTTTTGTGTCCAAAGCCAGAGGCAGGAACAAACCCAATCCCTAAACCAGAAGTTGGGGAAAAAGTTACCTTCTGCACTTTGAAGGGCCGGGGGGTGGATATCAGGGGAAGGTTGGGGATGCTGAAATCCCGGCTCCATCTCCACACTTAGAAGATACCAAGACTTGCTGGGCACAGCCTTGCTGAGAGGATCTGGTGCCAGTGGTACTGCATTGAGCCTCCCTTGAACTGGGAGACCAACTGAGACTCCTTCCAACCAGCACTTCAGTGACCCTTCATTGATAACACCCACACTTACGGGTAGGAAAATGCTGGCGTCCAAAACCGCGGGGCTATTAATAGAGGGACTTCAGCTGATCTCCACTGGCGTAATCACCAGCTGAATTTGGCCTCGTGGTAAACATTAATCACTGGCAAGTTGCTGCAGCATATCAGCTTTAACATGGGTTGTTTGCTTTTCTCTAAGTGTTGGGACATCCCACAAAGCTCCAGCTGCTTGTCCCGAGCGAGCTGCTGGGAGGGAGCGGCCAAGGGCTGCCTCCACGGATTGCAGCGATCTCTGCTTTTTTTCCTGCCCCACCACAAATTCAGAGTAAATCTGTTGAGACAGCACAACTTGGCCTTAACTCCACATTGTTATTTGACCAGATCAGCAGTCTGGAAACTGGGTCAATTTTTCTAAACATGTGGTTTAGAAATGTGCTGTTTCAAAGGACACTATCCAATGGCGTGAGACCAAACATTGGATTTGTAGTGAAAAAAAGCTAAACAACAACAACAACAAAAGTCCAAAGCTCTCTGTAAACACTGAGTCCACGGGACACCCTGACAAAGTAGGGAAATAATAAATTCCCTGATCTATATTTAGGGAAACTGAGGCATAAGGAGTCCCAAGTCATTTGGAGAATCATAGATGATGCTGCAATTTCCCAGCTACTAATTTGTTTCATCTTTACAAGTTCTTAAAATATACCTATAGGGATTTTTTTTTATTCTCTCACATAACTGCAGTAGGGAAATTCAAGTCTGCTTGTTATTTAGGTAACACAGTCAACACAAGAAATGTAGGTTGCATTTACCCTAAGTAAAATATGCAATAAATGTGCATGAGAGTAGCAAGGCAGGCCTGAGAACTTCAATTTTAAATTATGTTGTGGGTCCCAAGTTACTACATCAGATCATCAGAAGCTTTTGGAAGTTTGGGCTTTGCTCTCTTTGTATCTCACAGCCTTATCCACTAGTGAGGCCAACAGTTTCCTATTCCCAGTGGGGTAAATGCTGAGGTCCCCCCCTCCAAAGACATACAAGTATCACAAAGAATCCTCCTGGGAACAGCTCCATTCATCCCAGACTGACATTGCACCAGAAGATCTACAGGGAAAAGATAATCACAGAAGGCCCAAGTTAAATATTTAATTTTTTTTTTGCTTTAAGCTTGTGCTAAAACTTTTGTTGAAGATGTTGAGCAGAAATTCTCAACCTGCTCCCAGTATTTTAACTTCCATGGTCGTCTACATCACCTGTCCAAGGATTATGGGTTTCTAGTGGATTTGCTTATTACTTTTAACCCACCTAACAAATGTTTCTGAGGAATAACAATCTTAGTCGGTCCTCTGCAAGCATTCAGCTGAGTGGTGAGTGCCTGAGCTGGACACCCTCACTACACCCCTACCCAAATATATGACCAGTGTGTCCTCCCCCATGCTGCAGAGCTGCTGTGACTTAGGCAGAATATTGTCCATCCATGAGCAGTAACTCAAGGGAGGGATTTCACCCCAAAATATTGATTCATTTCCTCCTGACCAGGCAGAAGGTAACTAGATAGTTCATATCAATCCTTAGATATATAACTGAAGTTATTTCCTCCTTTTCCCCAGTAAACTGCTTGATGAAATTTTTAATTGGTGCCAGCATAGGGCTTGGTCAGACCCTGCTCCTTCTCACCCCCACCTCTCCCCAAGAGCTTGCTTTAGGCACAAAAACAGGCCTGCTCTGAGTCCCTCTGGTGTTGCTCACAGCCACAGGAAATTAGAAAGTTAAAACCAAGGCCAGCAGAGAGAGGCAGTGCAGGACTGTGTGGGACCAGCAAGGTCTGACTCCAGTCATCCAAAGCTGATGTTCAGCACTCACAACCCAAAACACAGAAGATATTTACTGACACCAAAAAGATGGGGAAGAGAACAGTCATCACCACTTGCAGGAAATGTCTCTAAATCTTCTCTCCTAAAGTGCTTTGAGTTTTATCTCCCCCCACTGCTCCACATATCTCTGTAAGGGGCTGTCCTCCGTGTTGGCCAGTGGTGGTCATTTTGCCTCGAGTGTTTGATTTCTGGCTAAGGCAAGAGAGTCACCTTCACAAGCTACAGAAGGGTAAATGAAGCAAAAAATCAAAAGCAACATTCCCAGTATGATACTTGACCAGGAACTGCTGTACTGGATCAGAGGGATGGTTTGGCTCTTCCAGCCCTTTTTCGGACTATGACTGCTGTAGACATCCCAGAGAAATGTGCCAGAAACCAACAAAAATTGATCTTTAAGGTCCCTTTCAACCCAAACCATTCTATGATTCTGTGAAAAGACAGAGGGATCACTGTAACTCCTCAATAACCTGCCTATACACAAATTTAATCCTGTCCAACCACTTTATTCAGATTGCATTTAACTGAATATTTGCTCTCCATACAGTCACGCAAGCACTTTTTATCTCAGACAGCAACCTGTAGCAGGCAGCTCCCAGCCTGCCTTACAGGGCCATGGGATAATTAGGAAGGAACCATGGGAGGTCTCCAGCCCAATCTCCTGCTCAAGCATCCTCAATTCCTGGGGTCAGACCAGGTTGCTCCATGTTTTATGCAGTTGGGTCCTGTAAACTTCCAAGGACAGAAGTGTCACAATCTCTCAAGGCCCCTGTTCCATCACTCCATCACACAAAATGAAGGAAAATTGTTTCTTTTCATAGATGAGAATCTGGATTAAGTGATCGTGAAAGGAAGAATAGCTAAATTAATCTGTGTGCCAGAGGGAAACAGAAAGTCTTAGCACTAATGTTTGTAGCACAAGTCCCCCAGAAAAAAATTATAGAGTAACTACATCACCAAGTGTTGATTGGTTTGCTTGGTTCCTCACTCTTGGATCAAGCTTCCCTAAAATCAGGACTCAGATTATGAATTGGAATGAAAACACTCTTGAAGATCCTCAAATATTATTGCAAGGTTAAAACACCACATAACGAATGTGTAGGTCCATGGTAAAACCAACAGAGCTCCCAAAATCAGTGTCACTGACATTTAGACTCCAGAGACAAAGGTTTCTTGAAATGATCAGAACCTCACACCTCTCTTTGCTACTATTTCTCTTTTGTAGACTCAAGAAATAGCTAAGAAGGACAAGAACTTAATATGAGATCAGGAACAAGCTTGCAAACAATTCCTGTCCTCTCCTCCTGCAGGCAGCCTCAGGTGAACTTAACCTCACCTTCATTAGATGCATCTCCTCCTACCCCTGACACTAAGCTGGAGGAAAAATAGCCTCCTCCCTCAGTCCCCTCCCAATCCATATATTTTTTGCTGCTTGAAAACTATTCTTTCCTCAGGCCATGCAAATCACAAGATTATCTGTAACTACATTCCTCAGGTCTGACCAGGAAGAGGTGGGGATGGATCAAGCCTCATCCTGGAAAAGTGTCATAAATCCCAATCCCTCCCTCCCAGTTTGGAAATCCTGGTTTTCCCTGTACTTCAAACTCTGCCCACAGCCCTCTTAGCACCAGAATGTCATAGCTAATGTCAACTGATAGGTTTCAGAGTTAATGATGCAGCAAGAAAGAGCAGTTTGCACTTCTCTAAGAAACACAGGTTTTGATAGTTTGCAGGCTCAGAAAAAGAAGCAACATTTGAGATCAGTTTTAGAAGATGTTCTTTACCACACAAAGGCCTGGAAACTTGCTTGTTATATTTAATTGATGGGGCCAGTACCGTGTCCTACCCTGTGCTTGCTTTACCCTGCCTGGTGCCAAGAGGAGACAAGGAAGAAAAAGAAGCGTAGAAGAACATTAACAAAAAAAAAAGCCATTTTATTGAAAATGAAATTAAAACTTCAAATTAATATTACAATCATGAGAAAATGCCAAACAATTCAATTTACAGTTGCAACATACAATACAAATAGTCCCTTTGAAGTTGAAGTAAACTGATCCACAATCATCGTCTGTGGCATAAAGCAGAGTGTGTTTGTACAATATGTGCATGAAAAGCAAATCTCGGGTGACAGCATTTGAAAAAATAAAAAATTAAAGCTTGTATTTACACAAAATGCTACAAATATTTTGTTCCAGCAGAAGTTCAAGATTGGTAAAGCATATTAACAACAAAAAAAAATTGGAATGTCACTCATATTACCTAAAGTTACTGTAAAAGTATGGTTTTGGCTGATATACTTAAAAGTATTGCATTAAAAAAAAAGCAAAGAGTTACCTGTAAACATGGAAGTAAACAAACATCTAAAAAAGTTCTCAGAAAATGTTAAACTGAAATGCATTCTATTTAAAAACAAGAAGAAATTCAGGGGGGCAGAGAATGGGGCTTCTTTCAGCTCATGGCTGATCCAGGTTTAATTATTGCTTTTGCTCATGGCTTGCTGGCGCTGCAGCCCGGTGAGGGGCTGAGCCTCGCTTTGCTCAGGGTGAAAGTGCAAAATTCTCCCCACTCCAGATGGTACCTGCGGAAACTGGTCAATCTTTGCTCAGGGGACTGCTGGCAAAAAAAGTTCAATGCTAAGAAAGACACAGCAGCTGGTCTTTTAAAGTAAACAACAAATGCCACACAAGTGATGCTGTGGGGTAAATAATTTGCTTTACTCATCCGTCCCTACCGGCTGCCCCCGATCTGGTTACCCTTAGGAGGAGGGAGAGGAGGCTTTAATCCTCCATTTGGCAAAAGGGACATCGTGCCTTTTGTGCTGGAAGTAAATCTTTGGTAGGATAAGAGAACTGAACTGTAGAAAAAGGCCATTTTTTATCTTTAAATCTATGACTGGTGCCAAAGATTGCCACTGCCCCGAGGGAAGGGCTGTCGTACCTTTGGGAAAACTCCTGCAATGCCAAGTACCTCACAAAAGCTCCAATAAACTGATAGGATTCACTACATAGCACCAGGTGGTTGGGGTTTTTTGTCTGACATCCTGTTTCAAGAGCATTTCCAAGTGAACTCAAAAGCATTTTCTGAAAGCTTTGGTGAGCATCTCTGCCTCAGCTTGTACAAGCTCCCTCCACGACCAGCCTGATGTACGAGGAGAGATTTTCCAAAGGCACCGGGAGGGTTCAGGAGCTACTGAAAGTCAAGAGGCTGGTGCTCCTCTGTCTGCAGGTACTTAGAAAATCCTTTCCTTCCTATCTCAAGCAGGCAGAGTCGGGTCAGCCGAGGGCACGGATCAGTTGGATCAGGCACTCGTGCCTCGACCGGGCGGAGAAAACGTTTTCAACGTCTGTCCCTAATGGTCCAGTTGAAAAACCGCGGGGACACAAACAGAGTCCTGTCGGTATTGGGCAAAACAAAAAAATCTGGTCTGTGCTGGATTTATCCAGAAACAAAAACCAAGTGCTTGAATTTTACAACAAAGTCTGAAAAAAAAAAAAAAAAAGAAAAAGAGAGAGAAAAAAAAAAAAGAAAATCTGGGTTGCTGCCTGCAGCCACTCTTAACAACATTTCAACACAAAAGCACCCTAAAAATTACTTAATATGCATACAGTAAACCTTAAAAAGCCCTTCTCAGCAATAACAAATAATGTACAAATATAGTACCTTTTATTAAATAGGAAACAGCTTGCACTGGCAGTACATCTCTTTTTCTCTTGCTTACTAAACAAAAAACAAAACTGAAATGTGTAACCAGACACTGGCTTTTTAAGTGCTGCTGAGACTAACAAACGTTACTTTACAGTTACAAATAAATGGACAGTGGTATGCTTCAAGCTACCACAAACCAACAATAAATAGAATCAATTACAGCTTCCATCTTTGAAGGAAAACTAAGTATTAGAAGAAAAACAAAGTGTCTTACTTATACTTTAAGCATACTTGGTATACAACCTTTAGAAGGCAAAGACTTTTTATTAATTTATTGTTTTTAAGAGCACGTCGTCACGCAGATTGGAGGGATGTACCATGCTAATGGAAACTCGTTCAACAGCTTCGCTATTAACGAGCAGTAGGGGTGGTGTCTGGCTTTGTAATGGCTGTGCCCACTGTTGGTTTATTGCAATACTTTGGAGGGAGCCAAAGAACACCCAAGGAGCAGCTTGGAGGCCTCCAGCCCCTGAGGGGGCTGCAGAGAGCAGTGACTAAAGGACTAGAAGGAGGAGGCACCAGCCAAGCCCACCAGCACGTGCCAAACATCCCACTAAACCAGGCTTAACATCACCTGTTTGGGGAGAGCGTGGGGCAGGTGGTTCAGCTCCCACCACATCCAGCTGTTGCCATGTCACCTCCCTGTTTGATATTGCTGCCCTGGGCTGGACAAAATTTGGGCCCCTCCGCAGGACAGTTTGGCAGCAGGCTGGCCAAGGGTTTTGGGTGCAATCTGTTCTCCCTGTATCACGTCTGGGAGCACTAGAGCAGCTTTTAAGGTGAGTTTAGATTTTCAGCTTCTGCAGAGGTAAGTACTGCTGCCCTTGGGCTTGTCCCTCTAACACAGCAACAGCCACACCAGCTTCAGAGCCACCACATCATCCGTATGGCTCCCGCATTTAATGCTAACGGGCGGTGACTCGCTACCAGGCAGCTTCTGTCTCAAGTTTGGAATCTTTTCATTCCACTGAGTGGGCTGAAATTGCAAGGGGAGGGGAAAATGTTTCACCATTTCTCCCTTAATCCCATTTCTTGAGATATTTAACAATTCATTATTTGCAAAAATACGGTCCTTGAACAGTTTTAATTTTTCTTTGGGGAAAAAAAAGACAACAACCCTTCTGAAATCCAAATTATGCTGTCAAAATAGACCATTTTAAATATGAATCTTTTCAAATTTTGAAGTTCTGAGAAAAATCCTAGGAGAAGAAGAAATTAGGGGAAGGGTGGAAAATATTTCATCCTTCCTACCATTTTTCCAGTGTCTCCACAACTACTGATTAAAAGGCAAGACTGTGTTGAAGGCAACCAGACAGCTAATAAAAATATTTTAAACACAATATTTCCTTCATAAGTTATATAAAAAGATCCTACATCCAAAATCATTTGATGTGGATGCATTTGGGTTGGGTTTGTCATTTTTAAGTCACATTGTAAACTGGTTCACACTGGAACTGCTTTTCAGAGTTGGGTAAAGGTTTGAGGTTTACACCATCACAGAAATGTAATAAGTAAAAAAACCAAAAAAACAAAAAACACTTTTAGAGACCGAAGTCAATATATCATTACATTAAGAAATGTTTAAAGGGTCCAAATGTCATTAAATAATTATAAATATTCTTTTAAAGTTATATGATGATTCACGTTAGCAAACAACCTCAAATTTTACACATTTATAATTTAAAAAAGAAAATAAAAAGAGAACATAGCTGAACACAAATACTATGTATACCATTTTGGCTCTAGTAATATATATTGCCATTCTCATATTTTGCATAAGTAATAACATTTTGTTTTTTCGTTTTTCAAGGTTTTGGTTGTTATTTTTGGTTTTTGGCTAATCAAAGGCAAAATGAGGGGATACAAAAGCAAAAAGGAAACCCTGGGGTTGGCTCACCTAACTTGAAAACTCATTCTCTTTAAGTACCCGAAAACAAACCAAAAAAGCAGTGAACAAAGAGAAGTTCCAACCGTTATCCGCAGCAAGGCTTGGGCAGAGTTTTTTGGGACAGCTGTTTTCGTCTGAATGGATCATGGCAAAATGGAAGCAACTCGCTCCTTGCTTTCCTTTTTATGTGCACCAATACAAGCCAGGTGAATTGCACTACGGGTGTGGAGAGGGTCCCATACGTTGTATGATTGCAACTGTATCTGGAGTTCATGGTTAGTTTGGGGTTTTTTTATTAAAATAAAAGGGAATGCAGCCTTTGCCTTGCATCACCATGTTTCTCCTGATAGCCGGGGAGTCCGTTCTCTCCTCGTTGGCAAAAGTAACTCACTAGTTATTACAAAACTCTTGGGGGGGAGGGGAAAAGGAAGGGGGAAAAAAAAGAAAAAAAAAAAGGAGGGGGTGATTTTGTGTGTGGAGAAAGTACATTTTAAATATAAAATGGTTCCAAGGGGGAAAAAAAGAAAATATGTGCTTTGATTCACATAATCTGAAACATGGGTTGTGGTGTGTTGGTAACTCTTGTGTTATTTATGGCCATTATCATCCCGTCTACACAGTTGCACATATTGGTAAAATTTTTTTGTTTTTTAAAGAAAAAGAAAAAAACCCCAAAAACAGGCACTTCGTAGTTAGTCGACCGTTTGGTGTTTGTTTTGTTTTTTTTTTTTGGCTTGCGGAGGTCGGGCCGGCTATGGAAGAAATCTCAGTACGGCCTCCAAACGGACTCATCCATCCTGCCACTAGAATTCAAGACGGTTGGGGAGCTGCTGTGGCTGCCATCCGCCTCCACCCCGTCACTCTGGGTGGGCAAGTTAGGGTTTAGCAGCGTGCTGCCGTTGGACGTGGTGGTGCACGGCGGGAGCATCCTGGAAGGGGAGCGGTCCCCTCCCGGCACCATGGGGAACTGGTATGATCCTGACGAAGTGCCATAGTAGAGATATGGAGTGCTGCTGGTCTGGAAAGGTCCACTTTGGTTTTGGGAAGAGCCGGGGTAGGGTGGTGGTAGGTAGGTGTGGTAGTGAGTGGTTGCGGACATACCCAGTGACATGCCTGAGGTGACTGGCGGTGTATAGGTAAAGGTGGCTGGATAGTGCATTCGTGGGTTGGAGAAGCGGCTCTCAGTGAGGGATGAAATGCTTGTGAACTGCCTGGGATCTGAAAATGGGCCCAGCTCTGAAGCACCTAAAAAATTATAACAAAAGACGGGGGAAAACAATTCTGTAAATACCATTTTTTGTATCAAGTGATGATAGAATTTTATTTTTCTAAGATAACCCACTTCTTTTGGCCCCCAAGAGAACAGCAGATCACATCAAGCAATACATTGCAAGGAACAGAGTCATACATCTGTCTTCTACAAGCGCTGGGCCAAACTCATCCGTGGTCTAACTCCACTGATGCCAATGGAGGGAGCAGCATTGCCAACCTGAAGTGTTCAAAGGCCACGAGTCAGGTCAGGGAAAAAAAAACCTCTAATATCAAGAGATTGAAAAAGAGCCAAAAAAAGAAAGGGGGAAAAAAATTCTCTGAAATCAAGGGATTGAAATAGAGCCAAAAATAGAAAGGTGGATTTGGAGTTGATTTGCCTTCTGGTTTCGGAGCTTTGAGGGTTACATATCTCTGGATTTTTGCTAGAGCCTCTCAAGAAACTCAAGTCTGGTTGCACACAAAAGCTGAGATTCAGCACAGGCTGTCAGGAGCTGGCATTTCCAGAAAAGCAGAAATTATCATGCAACTTGTAATAAAGCTACAAGAGCTGGCAACACCGAGTTAACTGTACCACTGACACCAGGAGAGTTAAACTGGAGGTGATTAAGACCCACTTCTTGCCTTAAATAATTTATTTAGGTGAGAATGTGTTCAGCTGCTTCCTTTGGCTGAAAAATGCTGTTTGCTGCATCTGAAGGACGGGCAAAGCCACTGCGCTGATAGCAAAGATGCAGATTTTACTTTTCAGAGCAGTTGATGGAAAATTACAAGCCCGACACTCTTTTTGCCATTGAAAAAAGTTGTTTTCATATGTAGTCACTGCAGTCTGGTTGAAAAAAAAAAAAAAGACCACACAGTTTATGGCTACTGTGCATGTCTGGATGGTAACGCTGTGAATTGGAGTCTAACGCAAAACAGGGATGGGTAAACTCATTTTGGCTAATTTCTAATCCCACATCAAACATCCAAAGCTTTGGAGCAGAACTGGAAAGCAAACGTTAGTAGTTGGGTGATGTGCTTGGGAGACCGTGGGATGGACAGGAGCAGAAGAAAAAGATGGTGAAAGCTCGTACTGGGAGCCAGAAAAGTGGAAAACAAAGAGGGTGTGGGAAAAGGGACAGGGGGAAAGAGGGAAAGCCTAATGCAGAAGCACAGAGCAGGAGGAGGCAAATGCATGGGCCAGTATGCAGCAGACACATATACACATATTTATAAAGAGATGGAAAGAGCAGGGTGTAACTAAAAGGGGAAAATTATGAAATCAAATGGACCCTCCTTGCACTTCCCACCTAAACTTCTACAGCTTTACAGTCCTACAGATCCAGGGGTTCACTCACCTCTTTTTCAACCTACTGAACCTGATTTAACTAAAAGGAAAATACAGCATCTTCTAGATGCCAAATTAATGTGCTAAACACTGAAAAACTCTGTGTATCTTCAGTTTAAAATGAAGCACTTATTTTCCTTGTGGACAGGCTTCAGATCTGACTTGATGATACTGCTGTGTAGAAAGAAAGTCCCTACAGCCCTTCTGCCCTTGGCCTCCTATAGCATCCACAATGGTTGTTGCTGCCACAAGCCACAGACTCAACAGCCCCTGTCAGCTTGTGTGGCACATTTTGGGATTTAGATCACTATATTCTCTCCTGTTCTCCCAGCTCATTGAACCCATGCCTACAATGACATTTAAAAGCAGAAGCGGGGTAAAGCTCAAGCACAGTTTGGGTTCAGGCTGGAGGACCCAGGCCACAGCCAGCTAAGTATCCAAATCACCCCGAAACCTGGGGGTTTATAATCTACCATCTCAAAAGATATTGAGTACAGAGCTTTAAATGGGCAGTAAAAGCCCATTCTAAACTCTGATGACAATGTGATTACTATTATCTTTATCAGGGACTGAATCAGTGACCTACGGGTGAATGGGTCTGTCTCCATCATCAACCCCTCCAACCACAGCGCCATGGAATGTAATATAACTTGTACCTTTACAGCAAACACTCTACTACTTGATGCAACTCCTTTCGTTCCCAACTGCAAACAATAGCCAGAGGCAATACCACCCAGATTCAAAGCTGTAATTTTGGAACACTATCCTTTATATTGTGAACAGGTCTGATATGTATCTGGATATATAAGGTTAGAACATAATTTCCCCAGCTGCTCAAAATACTGAGTTTCAATCTGCTGCTGCTTATACTCCTTTTTTTTTATTATTGTTGTTGCAACTCTCCCAACATGAACAGAATTGCTCTTAGTTTACCCTGATAGAAGCTAAACAGGATTTTTACAACCAAAGGTATGAGTGTAAGGGTGTAGAAGAACATCACTATTTTCAGTTTCTTTGCAATCAATACCTTTTTTTTCTTAGTAACAAACTCTCCAAGCAGTTTTACACATTAAAAGGCAATCTCCCTCTCAGGGCTAGATCCAAATATTATCTGTATGGGTGTTGCCAAGAGATCATGTCTGCATCGAATCACTGGGAACGTGCACATCACACGTAGGCATTTCGAATGTGGGGCTACAGACCTCGTTACATACCATAGTAAATCCACACTTGTTTGTTTTTACTGTTGCTTGTAAAGCACAATCCTATTTACCCAAAGGCCAAATAACCATAACCCTGTCTTATCTCACCCATGGTTGTGTCTGCACAGCTCCTGCACACTCACTTCTCCAACTCCCCTCTTGCCCAAACACCTTTTGCTGTCTCCATAACTCCCTGCATAAGGCTGCCACTTGTTCCCAGCCTTATGTACCTCCACTGGGCAAAGATATTTTTGGAGATCAGGAGAAGTTCTCTGAGATGCCTGTTTGAAAGTCTCATTTCTAAGTGAAACTTACAAAAAAGCCAGCTCTACACCTCAGGTTCTTGCCATCCTCACTGCTATGCAATCCTGCTGATGCATTTTCACCCTCCACCTCCTTTCTCTGTGCTAACTCCTCATGTTAAGGTTGATTTTGGCTCTAACTTGGAAACCCCGGATGACTATTCATCTATACATGTTTAGCTCTATGCTGGACTGGAATGATAAATAGTTCTACTGGGTATGGCACCCATCTTTGTATCTAGTTGTGCACAAACAGCGATGTTGATCAGCAATACAGTAACATGACAGTGCAAGTATATAACTCATAATATAATAATTATAATATTATAATAACTTATTTATTCCTCTCCCCAGCAGGATTAAAGATTTATGCTAATTTTTCTGCTGTCAGAGCAAGAAAACCATTTGCATCTGTGAATTCCCACTCTCATGATAGCTTGCATTAAATGGATGAAGCACAGACCCTCTGCCCTACATCGTGGCCACAACATGATGAAACCACACTTGTGTAAAGAGGAAAGACTTTATATTATGCCTCCAGAAAGAGAGACACGGCAAGAAGCACAGCAAGTGATCTTTTGCTACATAGTGTCATCAGCTGGCTGTTTTGCTTAGCAATAAAAAAAATAAAATTAAAAAGGCATATTTTTGAAAAAAGCAAACCATTTTACATCTGAATGAGTCCAAGTTAAACTATTTTTAAATCTTCCAAGCTGATTCCTCCCTAATGTAACCTGGCACTCCAGTTTTCTGAGAGCTATACGTTTAGAACAGAAAAGTGGTCATGTTAACATGCCAATATATATGCTAACATCCCAGATTCAAGAATACTGCTTCAGTGTGTTTCGTATTTAGAATAAGAACAATTAAAATTCCATGTGGTTTCACTTATTTTGATTTTGATGCACTCATTAAAATCCCTAGACATGGGCATTTGCCAGCAGCCAACTCAAACGGTTTTGCGTTCGCACTTAGGACACAGTTTTACCTGTTGCAGCTTTGCAGCTCTACCATTCACAGCTGCATGCGTGCCGTGGTCGTTTCTCTTCTGCAGTTTACAAATGCCAGCTAATGCCAATTAATGCTCAGGTCTCAACTAATAAGCTGTGCTCGTGGTTTGCAGAAAATCGGGCAAAAAATTTCTGTCAGGTTTACAGCATTTCGGCCAATCGCTTCCAGTTATTACAGATCATAATGTACTGCAGACAGATTAACTCCTTGTGGGTACAGCAAGCTGATATCTACTCTAAAGGGCTACAGGATAATTTTATAAGTTACAAATATTGCAATTTGCTTTGTCATATAAGGTGGCTATAAGTCACTATAAGGTGACTACCAAAAAAAAAAGCCCCCTTGGCTTACTGCATATGTTTCATAGGGAAATTTCTAGCCCATCAATGCATAACCATTGGATGCACGAAAATAGTGATGCTGTGTTCAAGACTCACTGAAAAGGAAATTCATCTATATATGGTTAAATATATTTATCAGTAGCTAAATTATTCACTTGTGTTTTGGGGAGCTTCAGTGTTAAGACATTCACTGAAGTTGATACTAGATTTTGTTGATTTTTTGTTCAATAGTTCAATTCAGGCTGGGACATTGTAGCAATGGACCCATTAAAATTGTTTTTTCCTTCCTAAACATCTACATCTATGAATTATATGTGCAGCCTGGATTGCTTACAGCTGATAATATCTCCTCGGATGGAGCATGCCACACACTTCACATGATGAGACCATTTTCAGTCTCTTACAGCTTTGCTAAACTTTAAATGTTCTGGCTGAAATTGTCCATGCTGGGCGTCTGTCTCGGTCTAAATTGTGATTTATGCATTTATTTGTTTTTAAAATTTCAGCTGAAACTCTTCTGCTGGGAAAAATATATTGTTTTACTAATCTTAAACTCTGAGGAGCCTTCCTTTGAAAAGCTGTACCAGTTCCATGCTTTGAAGTAAGGACTTGAACTTTGGAATAGGAGTGGTTTTTGTATGAGAGATGTTGCCATGAAAATCCAGCCAAATATGAACAAATCATAAGCATTCTGACTAAAAATGGGCAGAAGAGTCTGTGCCCCTACAAAGACACTTGTCTAGAGACTGGAATGAAATACCAGAGTCCCAAATCTCAGCCCTTTTTCTGC